GTKTTTTTTTTATTAAAAAAGAACAGAATTCGTTGATCAGTTTTTAAATGGACAGATTTAACAGGCTTTTTTTGTAACTAAGAGATTTTGATTGAATCACAAACTAATAGTAAAGCAAAAAGTAATCGATGTTGCTGTTAGTCTAAGACAAAACAAAGTAAAATAAACAAAGGTTAATCTAATATTTTTAGACAAAATAAAAAATTGTATAATAATAGTACAATGATGTACTTCAAAACTCCTGTACTTGAAGACGTATAAATATCTATAAACTACAAACCTAATCGCATTCAATAAAACAAAAAAAATTTTGATTCTTGAATTATATCTTCCTAGTTATTCTTTTTCATTATTTCGTTCCCGTTGATATGTCGATTTCATGGTTTGATAGCCGATTAAACGTTCCGTTTGTCAAGACGTCGTAACCTGCCAAACTTATTGTTTTGMAATATTGATCCTATATGAACCATCGACCCGACCCGACCTAAGTCGATCAATGCGACATCTAGAAGTGCTTCACCTGTAGRTTTCGATAGTATTGAACGGGTGTACCCATTGTTTTGTCGTTCTGTTCAGTGACCCCTTAACTCTAAGACAAACACCATCCACGTTATTTCAAGTGATAAAACATTAAATCATATATTGGAATTCCGTCAGTGTGAAGTCATCGAGTTGGCGTTTCGTAGACCAAACCATCTGTAGAAACTACGGTGTTTCTTGATAGTTCCTGCTTGTGGGGAGAAAACAAGAAGGAACGAGTTGTTTATTTTTATAAGAATAATGGGCGCCCTCTGGAATTTGGGCCTGTTAATAACATTATTTTGTGTTWCTAAKGGMGCAGTGATTCGTCGAAGTACTGATGGATACACAGTTCACGAAAAGCCGCCAGAACTCGTGGTAAACGCGGACACAGAGGGAGTAAAGGTACAAGCCAAGCCATCGAAACTTCAAGTCATYGCTTATCCACATCTACAAGGGTTTCATCCATATGAACATACAGCAGTTTTAGGACCTCACAGTCCACCGGTAAATATCGGGCCTAATGCGCCCCCAGTTCACATTGGCCCGCATGTGCCTGCAGTTCATCTTAGCCCTCGTGTTCCAAGTCTCCATTTTGGAACTAATGCTCCTCTACTTCACGTCCGTCCCCATGCACCTTTTGTCCATATGACTCCTCCTCTGCCCGCTGTGCATGCTTTAACTGGGCCTCCTGTTCATGTGGTGTCACCTTCTACTGTCTATCATCAACCACCTATCGTTTTTCATCAGCCTCACTTTGCTTACCCTGGCTATGGCTACAGTGGTGGCTACTATGGCAGGTCAGACATCCCTGAGGACTATTCTAGAAAGCCTTATAGTCGTTCCAGGAGAGATTTGGAAACTTCAGGACGAGTTAAACGACAATGGTACGGCTGGCATCCATTCCCTCATACAGTTAATGTTGGACCTCATACACCACCCATCCATGTTGGACCTCATTACCCACCCGTTCATATTGGCCCTCATGTCCCTGCTGTCCACATTGGTCCCCATGTCCCCGTGATTAACGTCCCATCTCATGTACCCGCTATCCATGTGCGACCCCATGTTCCTGCGGTACATCTTGGTCCACCTGTGCCCATTGTGAACGCTGGTAACCACTTCCCTGCTGTCCATGTCACATCACCACCAACTATCTACCATCGTCCACCAATTGTTATCCATCAACCCCATATCGTCCACCCCTACGGACAGTGGAAGAGGGGCTACATCCCCACCCACGATGACACAACGGAGTCTGAGGAGAATGAAGACGGTGATGACAAGAAAATTTCACTGAGATCTCTCATCGCAGGCTCTGCCGATAAGAAAGTGAAACGCCAAATGTTCTCCAACGCAAACTCCGGACCAAATGGTGACTCAGTTATCTTCGTTCACCCAAGCCAGAACCATGCTGGAGGCTCAGAGTCAAACATGGGCTTCAATGACCTACAAAGCTTGGGAAACTCAAATCCTCTTGAAAATGAGATGTCACCCAAAGGTTTCGGGGGTGATACYTATAGCCCATCCTTCGGGAATGAAAATGGAGGGAACGCCGARAGTCTAGCAGGAATTACAGGAAATAACCTTGGAGGCCAAGAAATGGGTGGCGCCAACTCGTTCACCGACAATGGAGGAGGTATGAATCTAGGAGGACTCGGTGGAAGTCAGAGTTCCATGTCCGAATTAGGAGGAGCATCTCTTGGGGGCATGCAGAGCCTTGCGGGTTTAGGAGGAGGCAACATGGGAGGAGAGTCCATGAAGAGGTCTACAATTCCCCAAGGGTACAACGAACAGATCGATGCCGTAACACAGAACGCCAGAGATTATCCAGATGAGATTTATGCTTGAGGTGAGGGAATGAGAAAATGGCCACAAATGCAGCGAAATTTGCCATAAATCATTCCGTAATAATGCACATTTATGTTCTCCTGATTAATTAAATTCAGCAGTGCGTCTCCTTTCGGACATATCCGTATCAAAAGTCACCTCTGTTGAACAGACCACCGATTAGGCTTCTTAAAACGACCACAATAATACTCACGCTTATACGATCCTTAGGCGTCAAGTTCCGCAGTATTTGATTGTTTTAGGCGGTCTTGTTCGATTGCTTGTTTCTTAGTTTAGTTTCTTATCTTTTCTTGTTGATTTGCTTTAATTATTCTTACGATTACTGCTGTTGTTGTTACTACTGCTATTGCCAGTGTTGATAAARTCATTAGAGCTATTGTTCTTACTGATGTTGCTATCATTCCTGTTGTYGATGATGACATTGCTGTTATTGACGGTGACAGTGTTGTTGTTATTTTTCATTGTTGTTGTTGTTATYGCTGCTACAAGTGTTGCTGTTACAATTTCTGTTCCTGATATCGCATTACCATTGCTGCTGTTCATGTTGTCATACACCTTATCGGCTAACGCGTTTCCATATGAATAACTAACCAATTCAAATCCTGTGGAAAAAGAACTTTTMCTTTTAAGACTTCATCTGTAAAAATATAGCAAACTAAAATACTCCCAGGTGGTTTAAATTGTGTGGAAATGCTTAGAACGTGTATCACGGTAAAATCCATGATGCTGCTGATGATGTTGCTGTTGYTGTTCATGGTGACACTAATGTTGTTGTTGATGATGATGTCGTTGCCTTTGCTGTTGCCGATAGTGTCAAAAAAATAACCTAAACATTTTTTTTTTGTTTTCTTTCAGAAAATTTCAGAAAACAYAATTGACAGTCAAATTGGTCGAAAACTCGACATCAATGAGCCCTAGCATTGTACAAACTATTACAGATATGCACTGAAAAATGCTTCGATCGAAGCATTTCAAATATCACGACAATTTACGATTTAATTTTATTACCCAAGCGTCATGTGACCCATGCGTCTTTTTGTGACGTCACTCTAGTCCAGTGCCTCACGTCCAATCGTTTTAGAGCATGATTAGATTTCTTTTGTAACAAATAAGTAATAAATATATCTCTCAGAACGTTTAGAAAAACTGTTATTCAACAAATTAAGGCACAAGGAAGACGTTTTGATAGGAAACAATTAAGTGAATTAATTGACATTAATTAATTAATTAATATTAATTAATTACCACATTTCAATCGTTAATTATCACGTGATTAGGTGGTGTTAGTGTGGTGCTCGTTTTATCAGAGTGAAGTAAATGGATTATATTGAAATCCAAATAAAAATGGAAAAATCAATTGAAGTTTCTTATTGTTATATAGAGTTGACTTGATTAATAAATTGTTGTTGTCACCACTAAATGCCTTTTTATTACCGCAGTACGAATTGGCTTAACCATCACCACTRTCATATCACCATTGCTCAGTCATTTTCAAACATTCCCATTAGATTCAAGAGACAAAAGACCGGCGGCCATGTTGCCTAAATGAACAATAGACACTAATGAGAAATCCTTTGTCGAAGTTCAATTAAGATGGCGGCTGTGACAGATAATGAAAACGAAGAGTATATAGTACCTAATATGTGAAGCAACCATTACCATCTTCTAAGACGAAGCATTATGGAGATATACATGTACTTTTTTGTTACCGAAAACGATAAAACTGTGCGGTTTCATCAACCAAAAGAAAAGAATTTTAAGCACTATTTTAGCAAACATGAATATATATATA